AGTAATCCAGCCAAGAGAAGCAGATCCTCTCTCTGTGTGTGTCCCCGCACCTCGCCCAGAGGCTGGGGTGGACCCTGTTGCAGGCACAGCAGCAGCTAGTCTACAGTCGCCTAACCGCCCCCCACCTGCCCCCCCCGCTCTCCAGACCAAACCTTCGCCCGCTCCCACCCCAGCTGCGTCCTCCCCTTCCCTCTGGGGGCTGGGAGGCAGAGCCAGATTTGTTATCTCAGTTATAGCTGGAAAGGGGGCGGGCGGGGAGGACGTGTTGCAACTCAAGCACAGCCTTGTGTCAAGAGTTTAACGGGGGGGGGGGGGAGAACTGCTGCTCAATCAATAAAGGGAGATATGTCAGAAGGGAAAATTTGGACAAATGAACCCAACAACGTTGCAGCCCAGCCTTAAGGTCTTGGTCAAAGGGGGGCAGCCAGCCCAACCATTTTGGCTGCTGAAGCCAACCACAGAATGGCCTCTCTCTCCCTCCCCAGGAAAAAGAGGCTGCTGTAGAGGTGGCAAGGAGGAGGGGGCTGTCAGGGAGGCAGCAGGTCTGCCCTCCAAGGAGCAGCAGCTGGCAATGCATTCCTTGGAGGCCAGATCTGCTGCCTCTGTAGACCCTGCCATCTGAGGCAGATGTCTCACCTTGGCTCATGGGTGGGCCGGCCCTGATCCCCTGTAACTAATTGGAGGGAGGGTTGCATATCTTTGGCTTCCCATCACCTTCCAAGACAATGATAAATGAAAGAATCTGGCTCAGATGAAAGACAAAGAGCAGAAGAAATCCCTTGGGAACATGTCTCCATAACCTTCATCCAATGTATCCTTCTGGTTTCCTTGATCTCTGTGCAGTTAAAGGCTATGGCGATACATCCTACCTGGGGCTGCCTTTGAAAGCTGCTTCCAAATTGCAAAACTACAGCTGTCGGGCTGCTAACTAGGATAATTGCAAATGCTTCCGCAAGTGCAATGGCAAAACTTTGGTTTCCAAGCTCAAAGGGATGGTGCTCACCTTTACAGTCCCAAAAGGATCGGAATCCCAGATATCTGAAAGATCCCTTTCTCTCAGTGTACATGCCCTTACATCAAATAGCATTGCCCTGCCTTTAACATGCCTTCTGGTGAGATGCTTGCCTGGCACCAGTTCTTGGTTCATTTTGGCATTGTGACTTTTTTTAAAAAAAACCCTTTTGATTGAAGTTTGTTTTATGCTGCTTGCTGCAATTTGATTGCCCCTCCCCGCTTTATTTGTTGATATATTATTTTTATTATTTGAGGTCATTTGTTTATGCTTTTGTAGACCATGCTGATCTGGTGAGCATCTTCAATGATGTATTTTTGCAGCAATTAAGACCATTTCTGTCCACACAAAGCATTTTATGGGACCGTAATTCCTCTGTCTAGTAATTCCATGTTTACAGTTTTATTGCATATTTATGAAATCTGTACAGTACATGGTTAAATTTATGTATTTATTTGATTCCACTTATGAATCGCTTCCCACAAAATATCTTGAAGCGATTTTACTGTTGTACACTGCTTTTGATACTTATTTGGAAAGTGGCACAGAAGCCTTGAAATTAAAATTTAAAAAACCCAAAAAATAAATAAGCCAGCAATGGAAAAGAGGCGTTTTGATGTAGCTGTTGCATCAGAAATGCTGGCCCAGGTAGTCACGAAGCATGGACACCTGGCAGATTGAGGTTTCCAGTAATTGCTGCTGTGCCACTCATATTTTGTCTACATAGCCTATGTAAACAAAGGAGATACGGCATGTTCATATGCGTGTACAACCAAAGATGAAATCAAATGCATTAAAACACATGCCACAATTATTACCCTGGACCGGAATATTGATGTCAAATCTAGTTTTCTTGAACAAGACGGTTCCAGTGTAGTTAATAATCACTGTAAGGTTCCCAGTCACTGCTGGGCAGTAAAAGTGTCTGAAACCCTCTACCCAAGTCCAGGTCACTGAGGTTCCTGAATTTATTGGCAGGGCTGCTCATGAAACTGCAGATGTTGGAAGGAGTCCACATCTGTCTCTTTACGGTGGGAGAGCAGGATGCCAATCAGGGTTAATTTGGGATAAATTTACAAGAGCACACAGTGTGACCTCTAGAGTACTTCTTTATGGCTCTACTAGCGGTCTGCTAAATAGATTGCCCTGCCATAGCACAGAAAGCAGCCTGGGCCTACAAATTCAAAATGAGTTTTACAGGAAGACCTAGCGATTGCAGGAAGGAGAAAACTGGTGTCACAAATGACATCCAGATGAGAGCAAACTGTAAATACAAACATCAAAAGGGTCAAGCTTCGCCGTCTGGGGAGGATAGAGGGGAAACGTCTTTCAGTTTGGAATTTTTTAATATAAATCTTTCGAGGAGGAAGGAAGATCTTGCTGTCCCCTATGTACCAAACACATTCCTACTGACTTTAGGCAAAAGCCTACAGTTATGATCACATCACCTTCTTATGCAATGACCTCATGAAAATGAGTGGTGAGTAGCTTTGGAAAGAATAATAATAACAACAATAGTAATATTAATAGACCTTTGCTTTTAGCAACATAAGCCAGGAGTATTAGTCATCCTTTTTACCATACAGTGCTTTTTAGTGGACCAAAGGCTTCACAGATCCTTGCATCAACCCTGTGAGGTAGGTTATGATGAGATCCCCCTGTGAGCCTCACAGGTTAGAAAAGGAGTAGGGGAACTTTTTCAGCTTGAGGGCCAGATTCCTTTCTGGGCAGCCTTCCAGGGGCTACAAGAAGTGTTATATTGAGCCAGGCAAAAACATTCAAGCTGTGTGTGCATGCACAAAACAGGATGTTTGGTGAGTGGCCTGGGGAGAAAAGGCATGACCTGGAGACAGTCCTGAGGGCTAGACAGGGAGTTCTGGAAGGTCACATTCAGCCCCCAGGCCTGTGGTTCCCCACCTCTGGATTACAATATGGCAACTCAGTGGTTGACTGGTCTATCAAGGCAAATGGGCCACTGCCCTACCAGCCTCAGTCTGCCCTCAGCCAGTTCCCACCTGCCTGCCTTCTTATTTAAATCCAGTCCAAGAAGCGGTCCTGGATTTGTTCTTGCAACCAGTTGCAATTGGTTGGAGAGAAACAAGCCACAAGCTCTGGTTCAGGCATAATGCTATGCCAGCCATTCTATGGTTTGTTTCCCTGCTTAACTAACAGAGGAGCAGAGTGAAAGCGCTGGCCTGTGTGCACCAGCATGCAGTTTGTGGCTAGCACAGTTAAACAAACCATACTCTGTAACTTTGTGTTACGTGTAAATGCAGCCAGTGTTTCACAGACACACAAAGTATTTATAGCACGGTGTGCTGTGCTATTTCATGTATAATTGCTGAGTTTGAAATGAAATGCGAACATGAAAAATGACTTCCATGTTCATTAAGCCTTGATGACTTCAGAGCTTACCATTGCCAAGGTTGTGTAGGGTCACAAACACACATGTAGGCCTGTAGTTTCTGCAAATTAACACCTAAAATGTATTTCTTTTGCTAGATTGGTTTACTACTAAACTTGGACCTTACTTTCACATCTAGCTGTTCCAGATTGTGCTGCAGTTGGAGTCTGCCATTCCTTTCAGGCATGGTAGCAGACATACTTTGCATGCAAAAGGTCCTAGACCTAACCCTTGGCATCTTGGGGTAGGGCTGAGAAAGACTCTTGCCTGCAACCCTAGGGAACCACTGCTAGTAAGTGTAGATAATACTGAGCTAATACGCTTGGAAAGTACAGCTACTGCCACTGATTTTAAGAAATGAATTCATTTATCTTATACATATGCACATATGTTCTATTGTTTTCAATAAGATCACAAACACAAAAAACATAAAAATATAAAATATTCAGATAATTCCAGTCTTTAAACCTCCTAATGAGTGCACAGAAGTCCTAACCAGCATCCCCAACACCAAAGAAACTCACATGACACAGCTAAAGCAGATAAACAGATAAAGAAAAGTACAAATGAGAGACAAAATTAAAAGAGATGTCTCACAGCAGCCGTTTACATGTAAGTATTAGAGAAAATGCTCCAGTGAAGAAACTAATTTCAAAGGGAAACCACTAAATCATCAAGAGGTTCAATTCTATTCATTTGGGTCTGAATAAAGACTATGGTTTCCTTTCCCAGCACAGATGCTAATGAACTCAGCATTACCAAGTTGAATGTTTTATCACCTACCACTGCTGTTGCAAAGGGTCACTATGCTTTTGTTTTTACATACATTCTACTTCTAATTGAATTGTCACTGTGTGTTTTCCATTTCATTCTCCTCTGACTTCACTGCATATGACTTCTCCCTCCCATTACCATCACTGAATATCTTTCTGCAACTGAACATTACACTTCATGCATCGGACGGTGGACTCCAGTCCATGAAAGCTTTTGCCATAATAAAATTTGTTTGGTGCCACAAGATTCTGTTGACTTTGCATTCAACTAGTTGGGAGATTTAGTTGCTGGGTTATCCCTGGGAAGCCCAACAGTAGTTCCAAACATTCCAAGGAAGCTTAGGTCAAAGAGAAAGTTAGACTGAGTGTCCTGGTTTGACGCTGATGCATTTCTATTCTGTGAAGAATCCTATTGCTGTAGAACAGCGATGGGGAACCTGTGGCCCAGCTCCCATCAGCCCCAGCCAGCATGACATCAGCATAGCTAATGATCTGGGAGGATGGAAGCCACAGTCCAAAAGCTTCTTTGGGGAGGGGGGCTGCAGGTTCCTCACTTCTGCTGCAGAAATCTCAATAGGGGAGAAACAGCAATGTATTGAGGCTACAACTAAACAGAACCTGCCTCTTGCATTTACTGTCAGGGCAAAAAATTGGAAGGTACCAAAGGGCAGCACCCCAATCTTCTGCAAAGGCATAGGATCATAGTTAGACCATTGACCATCTTTACACTTAGACCATTGGCCCATTTTGCTCTGTAATGTCTACATACATTGCCTGGCTTTCCAGGGTTTCAGGCAGCAGTCTCTCCCAGTCCTACCTAGAGATGCCAGGGATTGAACCTAGGACCCTCTGCATGCAAAGCTGATGCTCTGCTATTGAGCTATGACAGGACGGATTGAAGAATCAACAGTGCAACAGAGGTTGCAGCCTAAGAGGTCTCTCCAAGCTTTGAATGTACAAATCTAGATGTAAGATTGGGTGGTATTTGTTTAACCTCTCACCTTCACACTGGGTGGTCAGGCATCAGGCTGGAGGAGCAACTCTGAAGTGGCTATCAAATAAGCAGTTTTTATTTTTACTCTTGGACTGGTTGGGCACTGCAGAAAGAACTGTAGTTTAGAACAGGATGGATGGAAGTCGTCAGCCTAAGCTTTCCATTCTTCTTCATAACCTCCATTGCTGTGGCTGCTTCCTTCTCCTTCTTCTAATTAGCTGACCATCATTGGGAGCCCTAGCTGTCTAAGCTGTCCTGACATAAATGCAATCCAAAACCCCAAAGCACTTGGGGCTGCAGTTTAGTTTCCTCCACCTACTTGCTAGGTTTCTTCTTCTGAAACTTCTCCCCACCTTAGGAGGATGACACTCACTTGGTTCTCTAATAGTCCTTGAAGGGATGCTGCAATGGGACAACTGTGCCATTTGTTCAGAAGATGGCTTGTTCTTCCAGGTGGTCTTATTCATACTTCCTCCTGGGCATTTCTAGGACTCAGCATGTTCTTTCAAAAGGGGAATGGAAGATGTAATTGAGTCTCTAGCACTGCCCTACGGCCAGACCAGAATTATAAGCATGAAAGGCCAAAGCCTAATAAAAGGAAACCCAAGCAGTATATATTCCATACTGCAATTTTTAATTATTATTATTTTGAAATAATGAAGTCATCAAATTATCTAAAATTAACATATGTTAAGTTCAAGCATAAATAATTTGATGCACTGATTTATTCAGACAATGAAAAACACACATACACCTAGCTTTGGTTGTAGCAAAGCCAGATTTCATCCCCCTTGCAATCCTCACAACAACCACCCTATGAGGAGCTCAAGGTCACCCAATGAAACCCTCCCCATCAGCATGAATTTCTCAAGCTGAAACAATCCCTTTAAAGGCAGAACACAAGAGTATTGGAAGGGGAATGGGTGAAGGAGGCCCACAGCACAGCCTTATTTTGAGGGGAATGAATGCTTTCAAAATATCTAAGAGTGTTGAAATCAGAACAAGAAAATGCTTAACCAGGGAGGCAGATAAAGGTGGAAAACCACTGCCTCATGTCAGTCATTTGGGGTCTTTGTGTTTCATATGGTAGAGTAAGGTGGGGAAATGTTCAGGAAGACAAATGATCTAGAAATCTTTCTCGGAACATTCTGAGATGTTCTCAAGTCTCAGGACTGCTAAAGCTATGGCTCTCATTAGTGGCAGTGTTAGAATATGGAGGTGGCTTGATTGCTTTTGCCTAGGGCAGCTCAGCTTCATGAATAAACACCCATTCACTTCTGCTCAATTAACCATTTGTTTTCAGGACCCTTTGAAGAGCTTTCTCCTTTGAAAATGTTGCTACTGTGGTGGGAAACTGGGCATTATGGAGGCAGCTGTCTGAAGTGACTGCATTCCATTCAAGGAAGCGCACTGTTGGCTATTTCATTTCAAAGGCATCAATTTAACATTTACTATCCCACCTTAATGCAGCTAACAGATCAATAATGAAAATGGTAAAACAAAGCACAATCACATATACACAAAATCTCATCACATGGTTAAAATAATTATATAACAATATTTGGAAGATTGAACACTTCCAGCAGCAGAAGATAAAACAAAAATCTAAGCCAGTGGTGGGTCACTTCATTAACTAAAGGAGTTTGTAAAGAACCAGGTATTTACCAGCCACGTTAAGCGAAACAGTGATTGGACCAGATTGGCTTCATTCCACAAGGCATTCCACAGAACATGAGGCACATGAGAGAAGGCCTTACCCCTAGCTGATGCCAGCCTCACTTCACAAGGTTATATCAGGGCCTCAAATGGCAATTGAGCATACAAGGAGGGACATCCTTTAGTATTATTTCAATACTTATTCCAGGAGGTTTGTTGTGTCTTGCATTCTGAGGTCAGACTGTGCCCTGGGACCAGCTCCTCTCACCTGCATGTTCACTTCATTGCTAAAATGGAGCCCTTTACACTATTTCTATGTGACTGAGTTTGTTCTGTGTTTATAGCATCATATCTCATTTGGCCCAGAGAACTAGACCTTTAGTGGCACACTAGACTAGGCCTGCATTAAGAGGAACAAGGAAACCTGCCCTACAACAGGCAAGAATAATGGTGCATCTAGCCCAGTATTCAGGTGAAGGTCCAGAGCTCGGTGTTAGAGCAGCTGCTTTGCATGCAGAAGGTTTCAGGTTCAATCCCTGACATCTCCAGTTAGGGCTGGGAATGCCCCTTGTATAATATCATGGAAAGCCATGGCCAGTCAGTGTAGACCATGCTGCAGTAGAGCAATGGAGCAATGGCCTGGCTTTGTAAAAGACAGTTCCCTATGTATTGCCTACTTGGAGTGGCAGTGGCTCTCTGTTTAGGCAGAGACAGCCATAGGCTACCTGATCCTTTTAAGAGAGAAGGAAATGAGCTTGGTGCCTCCTGTATGCAAAGCAGATGCTCTGCCCTAGAGCTATGGTTCCTCCCCATAGTTATAGCTGTTTATTCGTACTAGGGGGAAGAAAACTAAACAGGAGCACCCCGTGATAAGCATTAAATGAATAGCTAATGGAACCTAATACACATGAAATGGAAAAATAAATATATGTAATATGAATACTTGGCAAAATTCAATAAAGCACGAATGAAGTGAACATATGGCAAAATGTGTTAAACAATGACAGAAGCACTCGTCAGCTGTGCTATGAAGCCTTCGTACCACAGATGATGCTTAATTTCACTTCTGTCATTGTTTATTGACTTATACCAAGTATTTATAATACATATATTTATTATTCCGTTATTTGTGTATTAGGATTTCATTAGCTATTCATTGTTTTAATGTTCATTAGGGTTGTTCTTTCTCTTCTATATGTCCCCGCCCCTTTGCTGAAGTGGGAACATGTTCCTTTATTTTCCCTTCTGTTCCTCTTCTCTGCTGTGCTTATTCCTTCTGCTTCGAAGTAATATTTAGACAAGGGAGGAAAGAAAAGAAGGTAAAAGATAAGAAGGGGGAAATTGTTGCCCTCGCTATATATTGCTGGACTACAGGTTGCACGTGCCGCCCCTGTGCCACTGTGTGGTTCAGCAACATCTGTGGAGCTACAAGTTCCTCATCGATGTCTTATAATAGATGTGAGGGACAGCTGGCCTTCCAGAGGTTGCTGAACTACAACTCCCATTATCCCTGGTGATTGTCCATGCTTGCTGGGGCTGAGCTGCAGTTCAGCAACATCTAGAGGGCTACAAGTTCCTCATCCCTGATTTTGTATGGCTGGGAAGTACCTGATGAGCAGCTTCAAGAGCACTCCATTGTGTGCTCTAAAATAACTTAGTGGACTAGCCTTAGGGTGGCCCTATGCTTTACGGCCCTATGCTTTACGGAAGACATTCTTCTACTAGAAAGCCAATTTGGGCCAAGTCCAGTTTGAAGAAAGGACCATAATAAGAAGGGAAAGGAGGGGTTGTGAAGTTGTCTATCAACAGGGAGTACCTGGTCAGCAGACTGAGCAGGCACACAGTTCACCTGGTCACAGTCTTTCCACTCTAGGAAGATATATTGCAATTTTATGTATAATGTAATTATTTCTAAACTTATGTATACACATATGCAAATTTTATACAAATTCATCTCTTTTAGTCTCTCCTCACCCATTTTTGGGGGTGATGCATTTCTTCTTTTTGGACTATCTGCAAATGACCACCCAAATTATCTTCCTCTTAAGCCTATGGAATGATGTATATTGTAACAGATACAGGGTGTGATTATAGTCTCCTAATTATCACAGACCTTTAGAGCTGCTTCTGTTTCTTCTTGCAGTGGCAATTTCTATCTACAATCGCTGCTTGTTTTGTTCTTTTTGTGCATCTGTTGTGAACCTTGAAAATACACAGCCCACTTTCCAGGTGCCTCTCTTTGTTTACCACAAAAAAACAAAAAAGCCATTGGATCAATCTTTGTATGCACAGGCTGTGCTGGTTGGCTTGGAAGCTGGAGAGAAAGGGAGCAGCTAGTGGAGGGGGCCAAACTTAGTCCTTCAAGACCCACCTTCAGGCAGTTAGGGAGACCAGGGTGCAACTCGTAATTCAGAATGCACACTAAATAGGGGTGTAGGAGAAATTTGATTAAGTTCACATTTAAAGGCAAGCCTACAAAATTTGCCCATCTCCAAATTTTGCAGTGCAGTTCACCAGTCAAGTAATATGTATTTGTAATATGTAATTTGTAAAATGTTTCGTTAGGCAAAATTGCATATAAAAATGTATATCTTAGTAGAAATTTGCACTAAAACACACATAACGTTTCATGAGTTAAAATAAATAAATACTGTGAAACGCTGCAGAAATGTGGAGAACTGAAATTATGACTGGAAAAATTAGAAACACATAGACGTGAAATGGACTGATCCATCTATCCCTACCCATGAGATATAGTAAATTGACCCCAGGTAGCAGAGCGGTCCCAGAATAAGCTTCCCTTTTATCCTCCTCCGGGAGATCCCCTTGTCTCCATGGAAGGTCAAGTGGAAAAGTGAGGTAAGAAGGGGAGACACAGAAGACACTCTGCTTCATTAGGGCTGATGCATAAGAATAAGTCGCATTATGGTACCGTGGCTCAGTTTGGTTTTTTAAAACTTTGGTTGCAAACCTTTCGCTAGTTTTAAATTGGTTTAACTGCTTCTAAACTGGTTTATTATGCGGGTCGGTTAGGACAATTCTTATAACATATAAATATGCATGTGTTTGTGTTTTAAAAGGTTACCACCGTGTGGTGGCTTCTGAAATCAGTTTGATGCTGTTTTCTAGATCAGTTATCATATGGAAGCCACCTCGGGAGTGTGGAGTATTTACCTTAAAGCTAGCTAATAAATATTGTAAACAAACAAACAAACAAACAAACAAACAAACAGCTTTGCATGCAGAAGGTCCCAGGCATCTCCCGGTAGGGATGGGAAAGATCCCTTGTTTGGAAGTTGGAAGAGTTGCTGGTAGTCAACGTAGGTAACAGCGAGCTCGATGGACCACTGGTTTCACCCAGTATAAGGCAGCTTCCTATGTTCCTAACACAGTGCTCCACAACAGCTGCTCCCTCAATGCAAGCTGTTTGTCTGGCACAACCTGCCACACAAAGAAATCTACTGCCACCACAGACCCACATTTCTGTGGTGGTGGAAGTAAGTGGCACGAGGCTTCACAGCACTGCAGGCAGCTTTGTATGAATGGCTTGCCGTGCTGAGGCAGCCACCAAAGGGAAGTGATTTAAAATGGCCTCCAAGCAGCAGCCGTGTGTGTATTGACCCTTAGACGGCCTTTTAAAATATTGTTTTCACCATGTTTTGATTCCATCAATAGAGCTGACAAGCCAGCTAGGGCCGGCGGGGCGGGGGCGGGGGGGGGGAGTTCACATCCTGCTCTTGATGAATGCTGGAGAGGGAGGGAGAAGCTGGAGCTGACATTTCAGCAGGATACCTTATCTAGTGCAGCGAAACTAGTACTTAGGACCACCTGCTATTTGTGGTCACCTGAGTCAGTCAGCCCAGTCAAGATTGCCCATCTCCTCTGTATTAATTTGGGCTCTAGCAGCTGGCCACCTGCCTAATGCACTTCCAGCTACCCGCCGGCCTATCCGACTGTGTAAACTGCATTGCAATGGATGTGCTATCGGTGGCTGAAAAGTCAAGCATGGAAGATTCTTTGTTTATTTAAAATGTGCAAGAAACGTCAGGCTCAATTGTTTGGGGGCCATATAGAGAGTGGGGGCTGCTGGTGGTGTTTATTTGGCTTGGGAGTTTGTAGCTGCATTGATGAAACAGAATGGGAGATCCAAACTCAAGCAACCAGTTGAGGTGGTGAATTCAACAGGGAGAAAGCCACCGTGGGGGTAAGCGATTTCTTTTTGCCTGGTGATCATATGTGCGAGTGCTCCTTCCCAGAGCACACAAATGGCAAAATCAAGGCTCTCCATCTTCTGTTTCAATCCAAATTTCATTATTTCTTTCTCTCTTTCCTCCCCCCACCTCTCTATATAAAGGGCTCTACCTCCTGTGGGTGTTTACAGTGGCCTGCATAATTGGGCCCAAAGCCCTTTCGGCTTCTTAAAACATAGGATGACGGTGACTGTGAGAGGCAGGAGCGACACACATAAAGTGAAACATCAAAGCCTCTTTGTTTTTAAGTCCAGTGTAATAAAAATTGCATTTCCCGTTAGCACTCTGCATGAGGAAATATGTATTACTAAAGGCAAGATATTAACAGAAACCCATCCTCAGCTTGCTGCCGCTGCCAAAATGATGTATTTCAAAATCATGCTGGGTACGCTAATGATCTGCAAGGTAATAGAAGGCAATCTCAGAGAAAAAGTCCTTGGGTGCAACCACAGTGCACCTCTCATGTTAAGCAGTCAATTTCCTTCTACCCACCATAAAGAGATTTTTAACGACATGTTTCATTCTGCAGAACCCTATGGCTCCAGCTTGCATTTTCTCCAGAAATAATTTCAGTGCACAATACCCTTCACTTATGTCCTATGGGTTTACTAAAAACAACAACAACAACAGTTGCTTATTTCGGATAGAGGCTAGCAACCATATGCTAAGCCACGATGAATTCTCACAAGACCGTGGAGTTGGAAGGGACCCCAAGGGTCATCGAGTCCAACCCACTGCAATGCAGGAATCACAGCTAACAAATCCCTGACAGATGGCCATCCAACCTCTGTTGAAAAAGCTCCAATGAAAGAGAGTCCACCACTTCCCACAGTGCTGCGCTGAGGTTACTAGGTATCCTACTGTTTGGCACACCTGCCTTGCTGCACTCTCCTGCCACTTACAAGACCATTAGAAGAAATTACCAAAACATTACATTTACTTTACATTACATTACAGCGGTACATTTTTGTTAAGTGGAAGGAGTGACTGGTGACAGTGGTTGATGATTGAGTGGGAGATAATGGAGTGCCCAGGTGGGTGGTGTGCTTGTCTGTACTGATGGATGTGCATGAGGTGTGGGAGCAGAATGTGATGAGTGATACTGAATGACTGGCTGCTATTGTATGATTTGTGTAAGGCAGGATTTGGGTGTGATTAATATGTGCCGGTAGGGCGAAGTGTTGTATTTTGTGGGTAGGGGTGTGCCTTGGCATGAGGGAGGATGAAAAGGGGACCCCAAACCTTATAGAGGTGATGTTACAAAATGTGCTGCTTGTTTGGGGCGGATTTTATTATTG